GCTGCCCCAGAAGTCATCGAGATTAACGCCTCTAGGTATACGACAGCCACCTTGCCCGGTCGGTAGCTTGGTGACCTTTGTTCTACCAAGTTCACCAACTTTTGACTTGTCTGTCGAGTGAAGGCCTTCCGTGACTATATCCACTTGGAAGCGTTCGCCACCTTTGTCGTCGAATATGCTAGGATTGTAGGCTGCCGCTACAGCAAGAGGATCGTGTAACGGCGGTCCTTCGGTTATGGAGAACACTTCGGCGTACGTGCCAGCGAAGAAGGACATGATCTGGGTGAACAAGGCCCGCATAGCTGAGGGTGTGTAGTCACTCTTCGAGACTGACTGATCCCATATCTCTTCTCCATATAGCTGTGTTTGGCGGACTTTCTTCGTACCGAGGACTTGATGCGTCAGGTCGAGAGGGATAAGTGTCGTCTTGGATTTGAGAACGGGATGCGAGAAGATGAAGTGAGATGCTTCGGGGTCACACTGTTGCTGTCAGCCTTTTCCAAGCATGCGAAGGATCGATGTCTTTACGTAGATCTGTGCGAGTTGTTAGCCTTGTCGAACCACACCATGCACGTAGATGGCAGCATACGTTGAACTCAGCATAAGGCGTCCAATTTCCAAATCGTTCACCTTCTCCTTGAACTGTACCCATTGGCGCATCCGTGAAGCCGCCACCGACTGCACCTCCCATTATACTGAGGCCTTTGAGATGAGCCGCTAGATCTGTGTACTTCTGGAATAGCAGACCAATGTTGGTCAAGGTGCCCGTAGAGACCAACCAGGCGGTATTCTGGGGGGTAGCGATGAGCGCTCGGTACATGGCTTCGAGGTGGTCGACATCGGTAGCTGCTGGTTCGACGGGCTTGGGAAGCAGCGTCACGCCGTCTAGGCCGGACTCGCCTGTTCGTGTCAGCGCATACCCATGGGGACTGGATGAGGTCTTACATGCCATGAATGTCAGCGGCGTGTACAGCATCGCGTATGATTGGCTTCGCAGCGCCCGAGTAGACCTTCACGTCGCGTCTTCCGATTGCCTCGAGGATTGCCCTGGTGTTGTACGTCGTTTGGTCGAGCGCAGCATTGCCGTGGACGGTGCTCACACCAAGCAGCTCGACTTTCGGGTCGTGTGCGCAGAGAAGGAGGGCGTAGGCATCCTGAGGTGGTGATGAGCAGCGTGTGGGGGAGAGCTTATCGGAGACTCACATCATGCCCAGTATCCTTCCTTGGTCAGCACTACAGACAAGGAAAGCGCGAACGGATACACACGCAGTCGAGCCAGATCGGAGTCTTGGAAGGAAGGTTGGTCATGGTGTTATATGCGTCTACCAGTTGTGTGTCTATATAGATGCAGCTTCAACTGCAGATACGTACCACATGCACTGCATGCACATGCAGGGTTGCAGGCGGGATGCTTGGTGGGGTTGCTGCACCGCTACTGGCTGAGGACCCAGGAACGCGCATCTCTGATTACGCCCATTCTCGTCGATGCTCGACTCTCATTCTACAAGACTGTGTTCACCGGCTTGTCCAAGAAACGAGCGACGGCAGAAGGAACGTGTTCAGCTCGTGCTTTGAGCACGTTTCGATTGGCTGGCATCACTGGCGCCGTCAGCCCTGCATCAGCAAAGTCCGAATCCAAGTCTTGCACCGTTACAAGCACACGTATACAACACAACTCCTCAACATCACCGTCCAACACTTGGCCTTGTTTCCTTCGGTCGCTACGCATTCGTTCTATAATCTGCGCTGCAGGCAAACCTTTTCGATCCTCTTGATGAGGACTTGTACGCTGTGAAGCTTAGCTACTGCAAGGGTTATTCTTATCCGCGATACGCAGCATTGATAGTCGAGAAGGGGCTTTGAAATGGACCTCTTTCGGCGTCATAAAGGCCACCATGAGGTCAAGACAGATCAATACTGGGCACTTGGGTACTACTTTGAAAGCCTGAACGACGAGCAGAAACATCAACGCCGGGAATATCTGGAATGGTATGGATTCGTCGCACAATGGTCCGTCCTGGTCATATTTGCGCTCTTTCAGATTGGCTTCGCCTTTTCGTGGGTGATGAAAACCGGGTTGAAGATTGATCAGCCCAAATCACCGTCATTCACCAAACGGCCAAAGGACAGGCTCGGATGGCTGCGAAGCATACAGACCGGATGTAGCAGGATGAGCTGGTGGATGCGAAAGGATGTCATTCGGGGCTGGAACTGGGGCACAAGAGGAGAATGGATCGGAGCCAGCGTCTGGACAGTGTGGTTGCTGTATCTTTGCATTGCTCACACCGGGAACGGTATGGACTGAAGATCTCCGACGTTCGCGTCTACTACTGACAATATGTAGACTACCTCCATCTCACCAAGCGTTTCGGACAAGTTGGCGCGTCGCAGCTACCAATTCACTACTTACTGGCAGTGCGAGCACCATGGAGTCCTGTGCAATGGCTGACACGGCTTTCCCACGAGCAAATCAAGGCCTCGCATCAGATCCTGGGACGCATCACATTCCTGCTTTTCCTAATGCATACGGCCCTGTATTTGAACTTCTTTGTTCTATCAGGGTTTCTAGCAAAGCGCATTAAGGACTGGGACGTCATTTGGGGCCTTGTGAGCATCATCCTCTTCACCACCATCTCCACGACTGCCCTCGGATTCATACGCCGCAAGAACTATCGAGTGTTCTACATCTCTCATATCGCTATTGCAAATTTCATCGTCGTGCCCCTGTATCTGCACGTATCTCATATCCGCATCTACGTGTATGAGATTCTTGCGGTAGAGGCATTACATGTCATTTCCCGAGCTGTATGTCTGAAGATGTACCAAGGTACTCTCAGACTTCTGCCAGGCACCAATCTCGTCCAGGTCCGCATCCCGCTGCCGGCAGAAAGCGCCGCGCTTACTTGGAAGCCTGGCCAGCATGTGTACCTCAGCAGACCGCATATCAGGGGGAAAGCTCCTACGTGGTACGACCAATGGCTTATGACGAATAAGACGAACCCCTTCACGGTTGCTTCCCTCCCGTCAAAAGACAAGGAACTACTTCTCATTGCAAGAACGCTCAACGGCAACACCAAGTATCTGGGAGAACTGGCGCGCTCTTTGTCACAGGGGGGAAGCAATGTGCCCATGCTACCTACAGCTGGTGGTGACATTCCCATCCTGCCTTTCTCCCTCGAAGGACCATACGGAGCCTCCAACCGACTACCTGATTTATCAGACTTTGACAAAATACTTTTGGTAGCTGGCGGGGTTGGTGCAACGTTCATCATGCCCATCTATCGCAGCATCATCGACTTGCACGACCCCACACCTGCAGGTACCCAGATCCGGTGCATTTGGGCGGTTCAGAAGCTGGCTGAAACGCAGTGGGCATTCCCTGCAAGTTCCGCACCCAATGACGAGCACGAAGATGACGCAGCGGCCGATGCGAACGAGGGTGGTTTATTGCAAGGGCCGCAGATTGTCGAGGTCTACGTTACACGACCTTCGGGACCCAACCTGCAAGTCGACGCGAGCGCGGCTGGCGTGTTCGCTATTGACGACGACGAGGACGGGGAGGGGATTGAGATGCAAGAGAACGAGCAGCTGCTGAGCATGGAGGAGCAGATGGAGAAGCCGCGAAAGGGGATGCTTGTCAGAAGCGGAAGGCCGGATCTAAGTAACGTTGTCGATGAGGTGTTTAGCAAGGGTATGAAAACGGCGGTAATCTGCTGCGGGCCGAAGAGGCTGACGGACGATCTCAAGAGAAGCGTTGAGATTTGGGTTAAGAAGGGACACGACGTGTTTTGGTACGACGAGACGTTCGGCTGGTGATGGACAAGTTCATAGCAGGCGCATTTATGAGATCTGAGCTGCTCATCAGCCTTGCTCCTGCCGTCAACCCGGCAGTTGGGTATTGACAGTGGGTCGCATCGATCAAGCCTCTTCCCGCAAACCGGGATCTCCAACTTACACCACAATCTTCTCGTGCGAAGGTTTGGACATTCGATGAATACCTCGGGCTAGCCGTTAGATCGAATTCTAAACCGCTGACCGCCTCTGGACCACGCCCGATCTCCATGACGGCGGACTGTGGGCCGTTGCCGGAGGCTATCTTGTCAGGAACGGGAAAGGCGCAGGGAGACGGAAGCTTGTCAAGACAGTTGTGCACTGTTCAGGCTGTGTGCATAACAGGGAATCAATCAAACTGGGTTCATGGGTGCCTGCGAGTGTTTACCCGGCGCGTGGTGTCTGCTGTAGGTGTTTGGGAGTCGGCGATGGAGACGTCGTCAAACAGCAAAAAGACTCTGCATGTCTAGAATCGCGAACTACATGCAGGTACTCAGTGCTTTTTGCATGCGCGTGTAGCAAGGCCATCTGCGTTTAAGGAGTTGGACCCATGATGTAGCCATTCCTCTTTGGCCGCGGCGCAGATTAGACGAGGCCCGAGCGGGCTGCAGCCAAGGGCGAATCACCATCTTCCCCAGCAAGGCGAGCAACGCTCCCAAATCCTCTTCTCAAGGGCTCCTGCATCCCGTCGCGACTCTCTCACGAATCATTGTCACTGCCGTGGCTGGACTCATCGTGCGCGGCGGCGTTTCCGATCGCTAATATTTGCTTGTCTCTCGTTGTAATTCTCCTTCACTTCCCTTCTGATCGCACGCGCCAGCACCACACCCTCACCAGACAGGGAAGTTGCTTGCACGCGCATGCAAACCACCCCTCACAACTTCCGACCAGCGTCCCCACACCGACGTCTTGCCTCCTTCTCGCCCATGGCATTGTTTTTATAGCTACAGCGTTATAATAGGGACCTTGCTACCGTGAGGCTACTTGTACACCGCAGTCTGCCAGCGGCCGCGGTCTCTGCCCGGCATCGCCCCTTCTCCGCCCTCGACACTTCTGGTTGCGTCGTCACCCGACGTCGACTGTCTCGTACGCCTACGCCGCTGTTCTCGACCGCCTCATAGTCTCCGGCACGTCATCGGTTGGTCCCCAGCCACCTCGCCGCCCCGTCCATGGCTACTTTCGCGTCATCCCGCCATACGCCAGCTTCACTCCAGCAACTCACGCCCCCCAGTAGTTCCCACGGCGCAGGAGGATCGTGGGACTTTGCCGTGCCTGTGAACGATTCGGTACGTACCAAGTTTAGTCTCTGTAAAGCTGCGTCATCTGGGTCCGGCACGACTCCGCTGGGACACTAGGTGCACTACTGCGGCCCTCCCCGTGGCGCATCTGACCGCCAAGTTCGCCCACTCACAGTGCAATTTCAAGGCCTGCCTACAGTGATGTCAATGTGCGAGTAGTAGCGTGCTGACCGTTGTGCAGAGACAGTCATACGACCAGGAGCCCTACATGTCTGAATACGGTGCTCCCGCCCACGGTTCCCGACAGCCCCTCACTTCGCAAGCCAACGGATTCGTTAAACCCGTACGCTCGCCCACGTGGGACTCACAGGACCAGAACCGCTCACAGTTGGTCCCTGACCGCATGAACGAACTGCATAAGAAGAAAAGTGGAGACATGATTGCCAGCAACATCGACCAGGACAGTGTGTTGGAGTACTACAAGAGCCACACCACCAACAACAAAAAGGGCCCCGTTTCCGTCAAGGGAAAGCCCAAGAAGAAGACGACCAAGCCCGGTGCAACAGAGCCCGAGTATGACGCAAACCACTGGATACACCGAGACAAGCTTAAGGAGATTGAGACTCGGGAACTAGAGGAGGCAGGCTTCAGGGTGGGACGGTCGAGCAGGTCGAACAGTCGCTCGCAAAGCGCCACGCGACGTGCGCGAGACCGGACAAACTCTGCATCCACGGACCACACGCAGAACGGCGAAGAGCGAACCGAGCCCCGCAAACGCATATCCACGATACCAGCTGAAGATGAGGATGCGACGGAGGAATATCATGCTTGGAGCCCGGGGGCCGACGGCACAACCGAGTTCCAGCCATCTTCTCAGCGAACAAACCACACTGTGAGGCCTAGTACGTCTCGCATTCCTCTGCCCAAGACGAGCGGTATACCTGTGCCTGCTTCAATGGCAGAACGTGATGCGCCGCTGCCAAGGTCTAGAGGCAACAGTGGAAACTGGAACGGCGACGCGATCGCTACCATGGGTGCACGCGTACGGAGCGGCAGTGTAGGCAGCCAAGCATTGCTCGTTGATGTCGACGACGGTCGGCAGACGACGCCTCCATATGGCAGCCACAGGCGCAATACCTCTACTGGCAGCTGGAGTCCGCCTAAATCGCCCCAGAAGTCACCTATGAAAGCCAAGACGCCTGGCAAAACGAACGCTACTGGAGCACGCAAAGCCAGTGCCCAGAAGACACAGCCTCGGTCCCGGGTAACCTCCAACAACTCGCCTCCAAACCGTCCCCGTACCAGTGGCGGGTCTACCAATACTAGGCCTACCACTAGCCACCGACCAGAAGGTGAGGCTCCATGGATAGCGTCCATGTATAAGCCCGATCCGCGTCTGCCTCCAGACCAGCAGATTATCCCAACCCATGCCAAGCGGATGCAGCAAGAACAATGGGAGAACCAAGGGAGGGTTGGTTCCATGTATGACAAAGACTTCCGGTTGTTGAACGACGACGACATGGGGGATAAGCGACTCTCACAGCTCGCCAACCTTGACCCCATCGCCATCGAGAAAGCCCGAGAGGCTGAGACCTGGCCACTTCCCAGCCCGACAAAGCCGGACTCACCCGCATCGCTTGAGAAGGTTGACACAAACACCGCCAAATCCCCGGTCAACGAAGGCGGCTACAGCCTGACACCGAAAATACCTCAAGGTGCCGAGCGTGCTCCTTCGCCAAAGCTGGCTCCTCCTATCGCCCCGGCCGAGCCAAAGCCTGAGGTGACTCGCCTGCCGGAGCCGAAGGAGGAGCTCAAGGAGAAGAAGGGCTGCTGCTGCATCGTCATGTAGCTTTCATTGCTTTATATACCCATTTCATTCCTTACTTACACCAACTGCGTTCAAAGACAGGTTTCCTTCATTGTACGGCGTTACTGGAGCACAGTCTTTGGCTTGGTGGCTACATTCCTCTCTACATTCAACTCGTTACACGCCTGGGCTGATAGCGTTCAGCGATCATTCTCGTGTTACCACTTGCTATCTTTCTAAACCCTCCGTACAGTCTGTGCGTCTGGCGTTTGTATTCATTTATCTGACTTGGGATACTTTTACATCCATGAGCATATCCGATCGGCCGACCGCCCGTATTTCCTTAGTTTATCGTATACAGAGATGGGACATACATGTCCATGGCTAGCAATGGCCTCAGTAGGAGGATGAGAAATGTTTGGAGGAGACATGGCTACGGCAGGTCCAAGCAGCAGCGATGGAACTGTGTCGTGGTAGTAGAATGTACAGACATACAATGATATCAATTGTTCGAAACTGTGCTCAACTTCTTTTCGTGAATTATCATCTCGGCAGGAGAGTGACGTAGCCTCGCTTCTGATGTGGATGAGGGAACGCTTTGTGGTAAGTTGAACGCCTACAAAGGCGATTTGCTCATTAGCCTTCACTGTGCCTAAGTGAAGTGAGTGCACCTTCTGTAATGTACCTAATTTCGAGAATCACTCCTTTGTAGACAGGAAGCAACATGACTTTCACCATCTTCTGGTGCTGCTGGAAGTGCTGGTTAGCTTGTCCGTGCGCTAGCATCTCTTCAGGCTAGCGTCTCCACAGAGTGCGAAATTCGAGCCGCCGCAGAACTTCGAACTTCCTTATCACCACAACCAACTCTCTTCGAGGAAAGTCGACAGATAGAAATCATCAATCATGGTATGTGGAATTTTGTCCCAGCCGCGATCCAAGCTGCCCGTGGCGCAACGAGAATGGCACAGCGCTCAGCAACGCAACCCCGCGCTTTACACTCCCAGAACATCACTGACGTCGCCAACAGTCGGACGGAGAAGACGATACCAAATCCCAAGTCAGCGCGGCCGCCGAGGTCGAGGTCTCTGCCGATGCATCCGGTGGCAAGGGCCAGATGAGCGTCCTTGAGGCTCTCAAGGGTGTCCTCAAGCTCTCCCTCATCCACGACGGACTTGCCCGTGGTCTGCGCGAGGCCTCCAAGGCCCTCGACCGTCGTGAGGCGCACATGTGCGTTCTCAACGAGGCCTGCGAGGAGGAGGCATACAAGAAGCTCGTCGTTGCCCTGTGCTCCGAGCACAAGATTCCCCTCATCAAGGTTCCCGATGGCAAGCAGCTCGGCGAGTGGGCCGGTCTCTGTACGTTTAATCCCGTGGTGGAGTGCTGAAGATTGAAAATCTTCGCGCGCGACACCACCCACTGTCAAGATGGAACACTTGCTAATAACTTCAACAGGCCAGATCGACCGTGAGGGTAACCCCCGCAAGGTTGTCAACTGCTCTTGCGTCGTCGTCAAGGACTGGGGTGAGGAGTCCCAGGAGCGCAGCATCCTCCTCAACTACTTCCAGACCGAGCAGTAAACGTGCCTCACCCGCGAGCACGATGCCCATCAACACACGACTTGTCTCGCACAATCCACCTTCCGCTGCATCGATTCGGTCGCACGTCGGCATGACACGGAGTCTGGGAGGGATGGAAGGGCGGATATAGGGTTCACGATGTGATGGGTTGCATGGATTTAGACAGGTCATCAGGTCATGATACCAAATGAGAAAGGATTGAATGAACGTGAAACCTGCATGAGCTTGCCGAAATGCTACGTGAACGTGTTGCCGTCGATGCGAGATGGTTTGAAGCGGGATGATCATGCAGAGAATGGGTTTCACATCTTGACCGGTGTGAGACTATATCGAGACCATCTTTTAAACAACTTCTTCGTGTGCAGCTACATCTAAAAGTATGAGACTGCCAAACACCCCTCACCACTTTCTCATACCATTTTTGTCACCTTGTTCTTGGCAGAATAACCCAATCATCTATAGACACCTCAGATATCTTTCTCGAATTGGCTCTGACTCTGACCTCGTAAAACCTCCATCACGAACGGGCTCTCCTAACATCGCGCCTTATGTCACTTGAGATGTCATCTCAACATATCAAACAGGGATGAGGAAACATCACAATTCAAAATCCGTTACATCCCAATGATAATTCTATATTCTTGCCAACACTCCCTCACTCTACATGTATATTGCGATCTGTCTGACAATGCTGATCCCTTGCCACATGCTATGCAAACGCTTCAAAAAAAAAAAGGTACAGGAGATACATAGATCTGAATCTCCACACACTAAGCAAACTCAAACAGACGCTGCTTAGACGTCGCGGACGGTACGGCGGGGAATCTCCGTCTCTACCATTTCCAAGCCGCTCAGACTGGGGTACCGCTTGCTGAAGGTGTCGACGTCGAAGTCGTCGCCGCCGTCGCGGGCGATGGGCGGGAGTGGCTTCTCTTTGGTGCCTGGGGTTATTTTCACGGGTGATCCTTGGCCGGAGGCTACTGAGCCGCCGGTCTGCAGATTCTTGGGCTTAGGAGCCCGGGGAGGGGGACCCGAGGGGTTGCGCACGTTGATTGTGGGCGGTGCGGAGGCGGAGGGTGTTGGTGGAGGCATGTTTGGTCGAATCGAAGACGGCTTCGCGTACGAGAGATCTTGAGGTTGTTGTGAAGAGACGCTTATGGGCTTACGAGCAATGGCAGGTGGCTGCCTTGCTCCGCTTTGGTCTTGGGGCCGCATGGGCAGTGGCTTTCCGGTATCGGTGTACTTGCCGTATCCCTCAGCTGTGCGGTTGGAGGCTGCTGGCTTGCTGCTTTCATCGAGCAGGTTCTTGACGCGGTTTTGGATGGACGAAGCTTTGGATGGGCCGCCTTTAGATTTTCCTTGCCCTTGCGAAGCGACGCGTTGCTTATACTCTGCTGCTGCAGCTTCAACACGGCGCTCTTCTTCAGCCAACTGTCTCTTCTCAAGTTCTCTTCGAACTTCTGGTGATAGATCCTGCGTTTCGTCGATCTGGCTGCGGCCGTCGTCACTCAAACCACCAGTAGCTTCGGAGCCGGCAATGGGAGTCAAACCGCCCTTGGAATCGATGAGCTGGTCGGTTGGCGTCATGGGCGGCTGATCGCGTTCGTGCTCAGGCGTCTTCGTGGACTCAAAGCGACGGAAGGCATCACCAAATCTTCCCTTGACGATGTTCGTGATGCTACCGCGTTTTCCGTGTTTGCCTTGTTGGCTACTTCGGGAGCTACTACGGCGGTGTTTGTGACCGTGCTCATCCTGTTCGATGGAGCGGAGGAAATCAACGCTTGACCTGACGTTCTTCTCTTCAGGTTCAGAGTCATCGATTGCGTTTGCAGTGACGCGGCGTTGTAGTGATGGTGCGTCAAAGTTACGACCAGGTGTCATTTCTCGATCACGTAGATAGTCAAGGTTCGACTCTACATGCATGCTAGCCGGGCGTGCATTTGAGTTTGCAGATCTCGACCGATCAATGGCGGAGCCTAGGTCCATGTTGGAGGGACGCTGGCTTTCTAAGGAGGGTCTAGATGAAGCCGGGGATTGAGGGATGCTGAGTTGAGATTTGGATCTCGACTCAAAAGAGGGCCGTGCAGGCAAAGCGAATTCGGGCCTCAATGACGGACTGCTCAAGGGACTCCTCGGGCGAGGTTCTGACGCCTGTTGACTCAAAGCACGGTTGTGGTGCGACGACAGAGGTACCTTCCAGATGGGCCGGTTGTTGACATCGGGGAGTTTCTGCTGGGCTGGAACGGGAGATGCTCGTGGGGATGTCTGTACGCCAGTAGAGACCATGCCGACCCGCTGTGGGATAGGCGACTGTATGCTTGCGTTGTCATTGCGTGGACTGTCTTTGGCTTCGTAGGGCTGCGGTTTTCTTAGAGAGGTGGTCCTGGACACACCTGTGGAGGACACTGCGGTCGAGGGCTTTACCCCGGGTGTTGAGTCGACCTTGGAGAGCGGCGGTGACGCAAAAGCCTCATCTGCAAGCGCATCTGTCACCCGCTTGGTAAGTGCCGGGTCGGAAGTCGTTGGCGCTTCACCAAACTCAAACTTCTGGCCTCGATCATGCAGCAAAGAAAATTCGTCCAGAGATGGGAAGCGCGAGGCCAGCTCATCAGCCGCAGCTCGTCTGACCTGGACGTCCTGCGAGTCTAGTGCAGCGAATGGGTCGGATGTTGTCCCTCTCATAGGCGACGGACTTGGTCTTGCTGCCGCTGGAGGGGGCTGGGCTGGACCTGTGGGCCTGCCTCTTCTCATCGGTGTAATGTCTGGTACTTGCTGTACCTGCACTGTAGGTGCCACTCTTTGCAGACCCACGACAAGAGGCGGCGAAGAGACCTGAGGCTCGGTAGGGGGAAGTTCCTGGTTCCGACGGGCTTCTGACTGTGTTCTGCCAGAGTAGATCTGGCTGGTCTTAGCATGGGGCCGTGAAGCCAATATGTCAAACATACGTCTTTGATAGGAATGGGACGGTGTCGCATCGAACAGACTTCGGCGACCACCTGGTAGATGTTGGGTCTGTGTTGTGGGTTCTCTCGCAGCATCGAGCCTGTTCCTAATCAGCATTCGTCCATGGCCTAGTCTTGCTGCGCATACCTATAAGCTTCTTTATCCTGTCAGAAAACTGGGGGTAGGCTGGGTACTTGAACGTAGCGTTCAGAATAGCCATTTGCCCGACCTCTTCGAAGGGTGTAGTATAGTAGCATAGCTTGTACAAAAGCACACCCAGCGCCCAAATGTCGCTCTTCTCGTCTATTGGCTGCTTGCGGTATACGTCGATCATTTCCGGACTGCGATACTGTAGTGTAGTGTGCCGTTGCACATCGTCCTCGATCAACCTCCCTTCGGCGGCAGTTGTGGCGGCGGGTCTTGGGGGTGCGGTAGATCCGAAATCGCAGAGTTTGTATATCTTGTTGCCTCCCACGGTGGTAATCAGGACGTTTTCGACCTTGAGATCGCGGTGGAGGAGCG